TCCTCCCAGGTGATTATTATATATATAGCGCGTATTCCGTTGGTATATCGTTTGGCTTCTTTCATTGTAAAATATTTATATTTTATTCCGCAGCCTGTGCTAGAGCATGTGACAAGGAATCTGTACTTTCCCCCGTGTTCCTTTCATCGTTCTCTTCCTCGTATCTTTAGTCTTTTTACGAATGTCTCCGCCTCGCGTCGTGTTTTCAATCTCTACGCTTTGCCGTTCCTTCGACGAAACGACGCTTTCTCCTTTCGCTCGTTATTCCCCGTTGTTTTCGTTCAACTCTCGAGATGTCGCTAAATGGAAAGAGAGGAGAGAAGAAAGAAAAAAAGTGAAGTCGTTTTTATCTTCGGAGCGGAGAGAGAGTGAAACTTTCGGAATCGGTTGTAGCGGGAAGGAAAACCGGATAAGAGAAAGGAAAATGAAGTGGACGATAGAATTTTTTTGAAAGAATCAGCGTATCATATATCACCGCCGCTTATGTCACGTTTCGATGTTCGGGGTCCGTCGTCTAATTAGAAGCCTCTCGTGACGCGAGATTTCAACAAACCTATTCTGGTCTAACAACTAGGAAACCAAGTAATCTTACTTTCTCTCTTTCTCTTAGAGCTCATGCTTTTTTCTCTTATTACGCGTCCACGGACAAGAGACATTTGTTTTTTTTTTACACGTCTAGATAAAATATCATCCCTCTAATCGATATCTAACGTTAATAAGAGCAATTATTTTATCGAACTAATTTCACCGACGATCTCTCTGTAATGATTTGATTATGCGCCGATATCCGTCACCGTGTGTATCGGCTACGTGACACGTCTGTAGGAGAAATCGTTCTATCGTACGGAAACGGGGAAGAAATAGTAATGGTAGAAGGAGGCAGGAGAAAAGGAAGAAACGATGAGAAAAAGTGGTTGAGAAGAACTTATCCAACGAAAGGTCCGTCTCGTTGATTCCCGGTTCCTTATCACGATGGAGATAAGGAAAATCGCGATTGGTTTTTTCACGTCGAGTTCGACTACTTTCTCATAATGATTCTCGGTTAGAAAAACGCTCAGCGAGCATTCTTTCCTTCGATCTCTGGCTGGTAATAGGAGGTTGCGCGCCGCAACGGGGAGGAAGATACAAATAAAGTCGTTCCTCGCGTGCGGGCCAGCAGAGCTTTCTCGATCGTACACGATTCAGCGATGGTTTCGTTACGTTATTTTTTCACATTTCTTCGCGAAGAAACGATAACAGTCGTCAGTAGTAGCAGCAGCGGCAGCATCATCAGCAGCAGCAGCAGCAGCAGCAGCAATGGCAGCACACGTTATTATTTTTTTTCTTTCTTTTCTTTCATTCGTATTCGTTTTATCCTCAGGGTATTATTCGCGAAGACCTGATCGGACACGAGACGCGTTCGTACGTTCCTGCCTGCGCGTCTCTCGCTTGTCCTCCGCGATTCGATTCTCCGTTTAATACTGATTTAACATAGAAACAGATCCTTTCGAACATGGAGAGTTTCCGAAAGATATACTATCCCACGTGATATGCGTGGCGTCGATTAGAGGAGAGAAATGGAGAAGAAGAAGCGGAGGTGGGGCGACACGGGCAGGGTAATAGCTCACTTGCCTAGCCCGAATTTCATGAAAATCAGTTCCTTTCCTTTCGACAAGATATCGCCGCCAGCGCTCGCACCGGCCATCTCCGTGAATTTCTGCATCAGATTCGGCCCTGTACTCTGCTGCTGTTGTTGCTGTTGTTGGCCTTGCGCGCTAGGTTGTGTCTTCGCTTGTGGCGTCGGCAATACCGTCGGTATCCCTCTCATCGGCTTACTCGTACTCTGGCTTCCCTGCATCGACGAGCTCTGGTTCTGTTGCGAATACGGTTGTTGCTGTTGCTGTGGTTGCTGTTGTTGTTGCTGTTGTTGAGTTTGCGGTTGTTGGAATTGTTGAGCCTGCGGACCAAATCCTGTCCCTTGTTGCTGGTAACCCTGACCGGGTTGCTGGTAACTTTGGTTCGGTTGATTCGGCTGTTGCTGTTGATACGGCTGGTTCTGTTGCTGATAGTCTTGTTGTTGCTGCATGTGCTGCCCAGGGCCCTGCATACCTCCCGGCACATTACTACCACGGTTGATCGCGCCTCCCCTCCCCTTCCCCTAGAAATTAAAGCGATGCAAATTAACAGGAGGAACATCAGGATCCGTTGCTTGTTTCTTCCTTTCGTTCTCTCTGGCAACTTGTTTCTCAATATCCTGACCAGTTCGATTAAACGTTTCGTTTTTAAGTGTGGTTTATGGTTGCTCGGTAACTCTGAAAAGTTTAAACAGATTCGTTTTTATTCTCTAACCAAACAGATCACACTCCGTCTGCCATGCGGTGTCCGCTGATCTTCCATCTAATCAAACATTAAGATCTATCGTAATGTCATTACACTTTACAACGATATCTGCCTGCTTTTTTCTTCTTCTTTTACACCCTACCATGTCGCATACCTATGAGGTTCTATGGAACACACACAATGCGTTTCAACATTATGCGAGAAATGTGTCGATATATATATACCTAGATGAACGAGGTATGAGAATGTTGTCTAAATTACATCGCTAATCAGACGCAACACGCTCGAAACATCAAACTTTTCATAGCCTGACTGTTCTGGTAACGAGCCTACTTTCGATCGATGAAGAAGGGGGGCGGGGGCGAGATACGTATGTCGATCTTTTCACGGCGCGGCGCTAAACTTTTAGAAGATGTGAGGAGATACTATGTAAGTGGAAACTGAGGGGAACGGTGGCGGAGATGAGAAGGGTGGCAGAAGCAGAGAGAGAGAGAGAAAAGAAGAGAAAGAAAGAGAAGAGCAGAATCTAAGAGAGTTACTACGAAAGCATGATGTATAATGCGCATTCGGTATGGTGCACACATGCTTAGACGACATATTTATCGAAAGCGTTCAATGACAAGCCTCGCACACACTACTCGATACTTTCCTCCTAATGAAAATGTATATTTCCTTTGTTAAATGTACGTTCGATAATTTTCACTAATCGCGACATTTTTTTCTCTTCGTTACACACGAGCGGAAAGCTGTTCGCACGGACGAAAGTAGAATAAGTAGAAAGTAGAAAAGCTTTCAGGCGGCTCGTTCTTTCTTCCCGAAGATACAAATCGAAGAAGAATCGTATTAAAAAAGGAAATGCGTTTTCATCGTTTTGTGTAATTGCACAATTATCGCAATGTGTTACTGTTAGAAGTACCTTGACGAATTACCGTTCGAAAGCAAACGTTTACAGAGTGAAACAAGCGGCACACACACCTGTATAAACACGTTACATAAACTTTTGCGTGAGCTTCTAACAATATGTATGTACATCGTATTGCAGGCATTGAAGAACGTTAGTGTGAAGAAACAAAAGAACGATCAAACGGAAAAAATTCAATATCGTCGACGAGTAAGCTAAATTGCCAATCGCTTAGGAAACATACCTGAGAATCATCGAAAACATTTTTCAATCCTTAAATTCGAGCCGTTCGACTCGATTTACAATTCACTCGGGTTTTCTCTTCTACAAACCGTGGATCGTTGGCGAAAGAAAGAATTAAGTAACGGGAGTTGGAAAGGGTTGGACGAACTGAAAGAGAAATAAACGAGGGAGAGACGAAGACTGAAGCGTGTAAACGATGCGATTATGAGAAGAAGAGGAAGAAAAAATATATATATAATAAGCGAGAAGTGAAAATCTTGGTCGATAGAGCAGTGGACTCACCTGTTGTTGAAGGTGGGGCGGTACAGGACCTTGCTGATGGGCACCCATAGGTGTGGGCCCATGTTGGTTGGACGTGGTTACAGTGGTGTAGCTGTGGTGATTCGCTTGTTGGTACGCTAGATGCGGTGGATTGTTTTGTTGATGTTGGAGTTGATGTTGTTGGTTGTTCATTAGTGATGGTTGTTGTTGTTGTTGTTGTTGTTGTTGTTGTTGTTGTTGTCTAGAGTCTAAGTGACAGACAGGGACAGACACAGGCACAATGCAGGCATCTAGCAACAGAGAAGAGAACAAGACCGTGTTGTCATTCATGGCGCATTTATTCTTTTAAATGGACATTTAGACGCGCAGCCTGAGTGTGCCGAGTAATATTCTCTCTCTTTCAACCTCTACGAAACATATTCTTTTTCCTTTTTCTCTCTTTTATTCTTTACATTTTCATCTACTGCTACCGTGTATTCCCTCGACATTGTTATCTCTCGTTCTACGCTAGATTTTGCTTTCGAATACACCTTTTGGGCGGAAAGCAAACTTTCTTCTCGGCTACTCGGCAAAACTTGGACCTGCGCATAATTTAGGAAAGTTTTTTCTATTCTTTTTTCTCCGCGACTTTATCTCGTGTAACTTCAAGACACGAAATCTGACAAAAGTATCGTTATTAGAGTAACAGCCGAAAAAACGAATTGTCAAACAAGTGTGAATTATTCTTTTGAATGTCTAAATGGCCAGCATGACAACACGACACGAACGACAATCATGTGACACGACGACCATCGACCAGTTCAGGCACACAGAAACAGATTATGTCGTTATAGAGTACACGCA